TCCTTTGTCAAATATAAGTTGGTTGTAGATGCATGGATTGATTTCTGGACTTTTTATTCTGTTCCATTGGTTTACAAGTCTGTTTTTGTGAGTACGAGGCTGTTTTGATTATTGTTGTCTTGTATTATGTCTTGAAATCAGGTTTTGTGATGCCTCAGGCTTTGTTTTTATTGTATAAGATTGCTTTAGCTATGTGGGGTCTCTTGGGTTTACTTATGATTTTAGCAGCATTTTTTCTAGATCAGCAATGAATGCCATTGGTATTTTGATTAGTATCACATTGAATCTGATAATTGCTTTTGGCATTATTGATATTTTGATGATGTTGACTCTCCCAACCCATAAACATAGAAGATTTTTTTCATTTTTAAATGTCCTTTCCTATTTCTTTCTTTAGTGTTTTGTAATTTTTCATTATAGAGATCTTTGTCATTCTTGGTTAAATTTATTCTCAGGTATTTAATTCTTTTTGAGCTATTGTGAATAGGCAGACCTTCTAAGTTCTCTCTCTGCTATGATGTTTTTGTATATAAAGGCTATTGGTTTATCTGTGTTGATTTTCTATCCTGCCACTTTACCAAACTCTTTAAAGAGTTCACAAAGTCTCTCAGTGGAGTTTTTTGGATTCCCTATATGTAGGATCATGTTATCTGCAAATAGGAATAGTTTGATTTCCTACTTTCCCTTTGATTCCTTTTTCTTGCCTAGTGACTCTGGCTAAAACTTTCAGGGCTATATTAAATATCAATAGTGAGAGGGGCCGGCGCTGTGGCGCAGTGGGTAAAGCTGCCGCCTGCAGTGCCGGCATCCCATGTGGGCACCAGTTGGAGTCCTGGCTGCTCCACTTCCAATAGAGCTCTCTGCTATGACCTGGGAAAGCAGTACAAGATGGCCCAAATCCTTGGAGGAAGCTCCTGGCTCCTGGCTTTGGATCAGCATAGCTCAGGTTGTTGCGGCCACTTGGGGACTAAACCAGCAGATGGGAGACCTCTCTTTCTCTCTCTGCCTTTCCTTCTCTGTGTAATTCTGACTTTCAAATAAATAGGTAAATCTTAAAAAAAAAATCAATGGTGATAAAAGGGATTCTTGTCTGGTTCCAGATCCTAGTTGTAATGCTTTCAACTTTTTCTCATTCAGTAGGATGCTGGCCGTGGGTTTGTCATAGATTGCTTTGACTGTGTTGAGGAGTGTTCCTTCTATACCCAATTTGCTTACGGTTTTCATCATGAAAGGATGTTGTATTTTATCAAATGCTTTCTTTACGTCTATTGAAATAACCATATGGTTTTTGTTTTTAAGTTTCTTAATGTGATGCATCACAGTGATTTGCAGATGTCGAACCATCCCTGCATACCAGGGATAAATCCCACTTGGTCCAGGTCAATGATATTTTTGATGTGTTGTTGAATTTGATTAGCTAATATTTTCTTGAGGATATTTGCATTTGTGCTCATCTGGGATATTGGTCTGTCATTCTCTTTCTCTTTTTTTTTTTCTTTTCATTTATTTATTTATTTTTTTATTTTTTGACAGGCAGAGTGGACAGTGAGAGAGAGAGAGAGAAAGGTCTTCCTTTGCCGTTGGTTCACCCTCCAATGGCTGCCACCACCGGCGCGCTGTGGCCGGCGCACCGCGCTGATCCGATGGCAGGAGCCAGGAGCCAGGTGCTTTTCCTGGTCTCCCATGGGGTGCAGGGCCCAAGCACCTGGGCCATCCTCCACTGCACTCCCTGGCCACAGCAGAGGGCTGGCCTGGAAGGGGGGCAACCGGGACAGAATCCGGCGCCCCGACCGGGACTAGAACCCTGGGTGCCGGCGCCGCTAGGCGGAGGATTAGCCTGACGCTCTTTCTCTATTGTTTCTATTTCTGGCATAGGAATTCAGGAAATGCAAGCTTCATAAAAGGAGTTTGGAAGGATTCCTCCATTTCAATTGTTTTTGAATAGCTTTAGAAGAATTGGAATTAGTTTTAATGTAAATGTCTGGTAGAATTCTGTAGTGACGCTCTCCAGTTTTGGGCTTTTCTTTGTTGCGAGGGTCTTCATTATTGATTCACTTTCTATCTTGGTTATTGGTCTGTTTAGGTTTTCTGTGTCTTCTTGACTTGATTTTTGTAGATTATATGTGTTTAGAACTCTATCCATTTCTTTTGTGTTTTCTCATATGCTAGCATACAGCTCTTTGTAGTAATCCTTGATGATTCTTTTTATTTCTGTGTTACCTATTGCTACATTTTCTTCTTCATCTGTGATTTTATTGATTTGTATCTTCTCTCTGTTTTTGGCTAGTTAGACCAATGATGTATCAATTTCACTTATTTTTTCAAAAAACCAGCTCTTCATTTCACTGATCACTTGCATTGATTATTTGGTTTCAATTTTGTTTATTTCTTCCCTAATTTTAATTCTTTCTCCCTACTAATTTTGAGTTTGATTTGTTGTTTTCCTAGGTCCTAGAGATGCATCGATACCTCATTCATTTGGTGCCTTTCCAATTTCTTCATGTAGGCACCAACTGCTATAAACTTCCCTCTTAACACTGCTTTTGCTGTATCCCATAAGTTTTGATATGATTATTATTATCTTCATTTGTTTTCAGAAATTTTTTTATTTCTCTTTTGACACTATTTCTCTTTTGACACTATTCATTGAGGACTATGTTGTTCAGTTTCCCTGTGTTTGCATATGATCTATAGATTCTTGTGTTGTTGATTTTTGGCTTCATTCTATTGTGGTCAGAGAAGAGGCATGGTATGATTTTGATTTTTCTCAATTTCCTGAGAATTGCTTTATGGCCTTGCATATGGTCTATACTAGAAAATGTTCCATTCACTGATGAGAAAAATGTGTATTCTGCAAATGTGAGGTAAAAGTTCTGTAGATATCAGTTATATTCATTTGGTCCATAGTGTCAATTAGCTGTGTTGTTTCCTGGTTGATTTTCTGTCTAGTTGATCTGTTCATTGATGAAAGTAGGGTGTATAAGCCACCCTTTACTATTGTATTGGAGTCTATGTCTCCTTTCGATTCATTAACATTTCTTTTAAATAGCCAGGTGCACTGTAATTGGGTGCATACACATTTATTTTTATTTTCTTGTAATAATAAACCCTTGGTTATGTGTACAGCATTACAGTATAAATCTGGAAGATAGTGAAAAATTGAGCCATCGGGTGAAAGTAAATATTTGCTATTAATGTACACAACAAAATACTAGGATCCAATATACATACTGAACCCCTATGTATTAGTAAACAAAGATGCAAAATAAAATTGAAAAATGGATTAAAGATTTGAATCGGTGCTTCACAAAAAAGGAATATTCAAAATACCGGGTTTACCTTATTAACCTTAAAAAATAGAGCTTAAAACTGCAATGATAAGTCATATTACATCTAGCAGAATGAATAAATTTAAAAACAAATCAACAATTAACCCACCCCTCACCCCTATTCCATGTCTGACAACAAGTGTTAACACAGATGGAGCATACCTACAGCTATCACACACTGATGCTAAGGGTGCAAAGTGACCTGACCATTTTGGAAAAGCCTGTGTCAGTTTCTACTAGTTGCATATGTGATGCATAGTTCCAGGCCTAGGCTGATGGCTACAAAATATGTGGAGTTCAGCTTATTGAAAGACATACACTTCAATGTTCATGGCAACATTATTCATAATGGCACAACGAAAAAACTAGCCAAGTGCCCATCAACTATAGAATGGATAGCTAAACCATGATGTGTTAACATTGTGCAACGATGATTAGGAATAAGTTACAACTATACGCAAGAATGTGAGTGAGTCTCAAAGACATAACATTGAGTGAACAAATACAGACATACCCTGTGTTTTTCCATTTACATGAAATTCAAAAAGAAGAAAAGCTAGTATATAGTGTTTGAATTCTGAATGGTGGTTACCTTGAGAAGTAGGGACTTGTAGGGAGGTGTACTAGGAGATAGGATGGGCTGGTAGTAATATTCTATTCATTGTTGCCCATTCTTTGCCCCATGAGTGAGATACACTCAAAGAACACAAACAGGTTTATATAGATCAAGTAAAATTTTAATTAGAAATTAATAATGAGCCAGATGTAAACAACCTCCATAGTACATTATACCTGTGAGCCAGTCTTTATGAATATGGATAACTGAAAACTGTTCAGCTATAGTTTGTTGTTATTGGAGAGATTTTCCAATTAATACTTCTATTAAGCAGACAGAAGAACTAATTTTGCTTGTAATAAAATACTGAGCCTAATAATTTCTATCTCTGATTTATTAGATTATTTTTTATCCTTGTTCTATATTTCTCTTTCTCTGACCCTCTTTTTTAACCTACTGCAAGAAAATATTTTTGTTCAGTTAATGGGTTTCAGACATTTAAAAAATTCAGATCCATCTGATATTTATCTTGATTTGGATGTCATTCAGAGTGTTTGCAATGAAAGAGATTTTCTATATGATACTCTAATATCTAGTATCTGTCACTGCCACTAGATTCATATGCCCTTGGTTTTGTCTCTCCTTTTGATGAAATGTTTCACGAGCATACTATGAGATTCATAAATGTGCATTTTTAAAAATTAATTTCAAATATTAGATAAGGCATTTAGATTTAGAGACCAGGCTTATTTACCTAAACAAGAGTCATTGCTTGGTGTAATTTAAGGATGATGATTTTATGTCACCATTAAAAAAGTGATACAGGTGGTGATTAAAGAAACCCATTTGTAATCTACATATTCATGCAAAACAAAATTCCACAATCAAACTACTACCCAGATGGGGTCTTCAAAGACTGATTTTGCTTTAGTGCATCTAGAGCATTCAAATATGCATGAAAACTTTTTTTATATTGGGTTTTACTGATGATGAAAGAGATAGAGAATGGAAGGGGCAATTTGCCTTCTTTTTGGGTAGGCGACTGTAGTGAAATTTTGTTGGTAATTACAGTATATATGAGATGCTAGTTTTTTTCTCTTCTTGCATCCCTCCAGCCTCATCAGAGGTTAACTTTCTCCAGCATGATCAGAGAGATTACACTCCAGATGACTTCTGCCTGCTGCAGCTCCCTTGCACTCCCCTCGCCTCTTCTGTGGGCCTCTGACTGCCTCACCCTTCACTTTCTGTAAGTGTCCGTGATTCTAGGACTTAGCTGAGAATTTGGCTATACAGAATTTCATGGTCCTCACCCCTAAGCAAGTGTCTCTACTCTTTGTCTGGCCTTAGCCTTGGTAGTCACCATTTGCTTCTGTGGAGACTATCCTTCTCATCAGGCTGCTCCTAACCTATCTCTTCGCACTTTTCACTTTTTAAATATAGAGCAACCCAGATAGGCCTTTGTTTCTTTGTCCTTTTCCAAACTAGGCCTGGAGGACTCAGTGTTGAAACCCAAGTGGCCTGACAAGGTGCTTTGCTAAACAAAAGGCCATCTAATCTACTCCAGAGAGAAATTATGCTTATTCTTTGCAGCATAAATGATTTCAGTTGGTTCTTTTCTTTTCCCTTTCCATTACAAATGTATGACCATAAAATGTTACAAAGGAAACTTTGATGTTTCCTCCTCATAATTGCTGATATCCCCAGTCAGACACTGTGCCATCACTGAAGTATTCACAGTCTTTTGTTCCATTTTCAAGTTTGCCTATGTAAAGCTGTCTTGAATTGAATTATTCCTGACAACACTTAGAAAGTGATGCTTGGCACCACCTATTAGTGCCAAGAAGCAGAGTCACAAAAATGAAATGATCATAATGGTTTGTTGAATAAAAAATAATGAAATGACAAATTTAAAATCACTAAGATTCTTATTTGATTTAATTAAAGAATTATTTCATTGGTGGTTGCATTTATTTTCTAAAGGACATTTAAATTTGGCACATACCTACTGCCAATCAACGATTCTCAGTGGTGGAGGGGGGATGAACTTCTGGCTGTCACATGTATGTATGTGTGCATATGAGTATGTATATGTGTATGTATGTTTATGTGTGTTTGTAAAAAGTCTCCCTTTATCTTTCCACAACCAGGTACAATTTAGTATACTCCCTTTCTGCATGCTATTAAGAATAACTACTATAAGTAATCATTACTTACATAGTGGTGAGCTAGGCAATCAATTTATTTTATAATTATGTTCAGTCAATCAATTTGACAATTTTGGTGCAGGATATTAGTATCATTATTGGTCCTGGTTTTAAAGCCTTTAGCTATTCTTTAAAAGTATGACTTCAATTAGAAAATCGCAGCTTTTAAGTCTGTTAGAAAATCAAGCAAACAAAAACAAACACACAAAGATAAAACAAGTAAGCAGTCTTACACTTTATTAGTTTCTTTAGTAACTGGAAGTTTTAAATTTTTATTTATTTTTCTTTGAATAGGTAATACATGTATACAGAACAAAGTTCAAAAAGTGCTGCTAGATATGACATGAAAAGTAAGTCTCCCTTTTGTTCCTGTCCCCATCTACTCAGCTCCCTTCTTCAGTTTTCTCTAAAAAGACTTTGATGTTTATACAAGAATATCTATTAATCCATCTATCCTATCATCTACTTTTATGTGTATCCATCATCTATCTATATCATCCAAGTATCTTGTGTGTATATATACATTGTGTATATGTATACATGTATGTAGACATGCAGCTATATCTTGTATATACATTATATGTATCTTGTCTGTGTGTAAATATGTATCTATCTAATATATATATGTATAGCTACATCCTGTGTATACAAATATAATATATCTTGCTTGTATATATGTATAGTATGCATGTATATATATATCTTTTTCTTTGTTTTTAAAAATTTATTCATTTATTTGAAAGACAGAGTTACAGAAAGGCAGAGGCAGAGAGAGAAGTCTTCTACCCACCGGTTCACTCCCCAGATGGCTGCAACAGCCAGAGCTGGGCCAATCTGAAACCAGGAGCCAGGAGTTTCTTCCAGGTCTCCCACGAGATGCAGGGACTCAAGGACTTGGGCCGTCTTCCACTGTTTTCCCAGGCCATAGCAGAGAGTTGGATCAAAGTGGAGCACCTGGGACTCGAACTGGCACCCACACGGGATGCCAACATTGAATGTGGCGGCTTTACCCACTATGCTACAGTGCCAGATACAAAGCATTCCAAAGCTGCATTTTCACAAATTTCTCTAAAAGTTACGTTGTATTGTATCAAATTTATTTAATTTGATGAACACTTGATTTGTTTCTAATGTTCAGTTATTATAAACAACATATCCACATGCACATGCTATTTTATATATATGCAAGTATATTGGTAAGTTAAATTCCAAGAGATAGAATTACTGAGTCTCTTGCATTGTTCTCCATACATTATAACAGTGCTACCTGCAATGTAGACTTTATTCAAAATGTATACCCTAAGGTATAATCATTATCATAATTTGATCTTCACAATTCTCTTTAAATATATGTACACTTTTTCTAATCTAAGATGAAGATAACACACAAATTTTAAGTAAATTCCATCTATTGAAAACAAAGTATTACTGGGATTATTCTTATACTCTAATAGGAACAAAATAAATAAGCTTGTAAGATTTTATATCCAAGTTATATACAATAACTCCCTAGTGTAGATGTTAATATGTATGTATAAATTTCAACTGAATGAGCCACTGTGACTAAGAATGAAAATATAAAATGACATTTAATTTACAACCTTGATTGTTTTATCTTTTTAAAATGCTGTTAATTAATAGCTCGGAAGGATATTACAGTTCTTGTTCTGAGTTCATAGCAATGTCAAGAAAACTATCATCAACCAGTATTTGAAATTACTGCTGAGGAAGATGAAAATTTTTGTCTTTCTGCAATTAAAATTTGTATGCAATTTGTTTCTATTAAACTAGTTGACCCCTAAGGCATACCCAAATGCCTGACACAGAGGTCTAATGACAAAATTAATACTTGGTGAATTATTGATTAAAAAAGATGAAGAAATTTTTTAAGATTTATTTATTTATTTGAAAGTCAGAGTAACACAGAGAGAGGAGAGGCAGAGAGAGAGAGAGAGAGAGAGAGAGAGAGAGGTCTTCCATCCAGTGGTTCACTCCTCAACTGGCCACAACGGCTGGAGCTGTGCCAATCTGAAGCCAGGAGCCAGAAGCTTCTTCCAGGTCTCCCACACGAGTGCAGGGGCCCAAGGACTTGGGCCATCATCCACTGCTCTCCCAGGCCATAGCAGAGAGCCGGATAGGAAGTGGAGTGGCTGAGTCTTAGAACCGGTGCCCATACGGGATGCCAGCGCTTCAGGCCAGGGTGTTAACCCATTGCGCCACAGCGCTGGCCCCAAAAGATGAAGAAATTAAAGCTTTTTGGGTTTGTTGATGACCTGCCAAGACCATACAATTTGTATCCTCCTAGGTCAAAAGCACTTTACAACATAGTCTCTGCTTCTCTTTTTATTTTTTATTTTATTTTTTAAAGATTTATTTATTTATTTGAAAGTCAGAGTTACACAGAGAGAGGAGATGCAGAGAGAGAGAGAGAGAGGTCTTCTATCTGCTGGTTCATTCCCCAGTTGGCCTCAATGGTCGGAGCTGCACCAATCCGAAGCCATGAGCCAGAAGCTTCTTCCAGGTATCCCACGTGGGTGCAGGGGCCCAAGGAGTTGGGCCATCTTCTACTGCTTTCCCAGGTCATAGCAGATGAGGTGGATTGGAAGAGGAGCAGCCGGGTCTCGAACTGGTGCCCATATGGGATGCCGGCGCTTCAGGCCAGGGTGTTAACCTGCTGCGCCACAGCACCGGCCCCTGCTTCTCTTTTTAAAATGGATTTGTTTAACTTATTTGAAAGAGCAAAAGAGAAAGAGAGAAAATTCACTTCTATTTGTTGGTGGTTCTCTCCCCAAATGCTGGCAATAGCAAGGATGTGGTCCTGTTCATGCTGGGAACCAATGACTAAAACCATATCTCCCACACAGATTGCAGGGACCTACTGCTGGACCCATCACTGACACTCTCCCAGAGTCTGCATTAGCAGAAAACTGAAATTGGGGAAGGAGCTGAAACTCCAACCCAGGAGTTCTGATTTGGGATTACTAGATGTCCCAAGTGGCATCTTAACTGTTAGGCCAAATATTTATTAAAGATGTGTGGAATCTTGTCTTTTGAGGAATCATTTTATGAAATAGTTGTCAGAAGACTAAGAAACACCATAGTTCTACTTTATTAAAGAAGATTCTCCCCAATTATCTCTATCTCTTTCATATCAGAAGCATGATAATTACATGCATATATATAATTGTATGTATATTTATGTGTAAGTATATATAGAATTGATGTTAAATACAAAAAGAAGCATTTCTGAAGATTTTCTGTGGAAGATCATTTCTGTCTCCTATAAATTCAAATGTTGGATTAGATTATCTCTCACAGCTACATCCTGGAGTACTAGATGCAAACAGGTCAGTTAACATGATAGACTGTGATCTTCCTCAATTTTTTTGTAAACATTCATTCATTTATTTATTTGCAAAGCAGGTGGGGGAGAGAGGATTGGGGGGGGAGAGAGAGAGAGAGAAGAGAGAGAGAGAGGAAGAGAGAGGAAGGTTATCTTTTATCTTCTGGTTCATTCCCCAAATGGCTGTACCAGTTGCCTTCTCAGGCACATTAGCAAGGAGCTGGATTGGAAACAGAATAGCTGGGATTCGAACTCACACTCTTATATAGCGCAAGTGGAGGCTTCACCTGCTGTGCCCCAGTGCTGGCCCCAGTCTTCTCTAAGATTTGCTACAGATGAGGAATTGTAGTTTTTTCAAAAGCCCTACCCTGTTTTTGTTTAACATGTGGAGACATGATGTTTATCTCTTTCTTAGCTATGTTGTATAATTATTTTCTATTAGGGTCCTGTCATTCCTGAGAATTAGGCATTGTGAGTAGATGCACACTGGAGAGAGTGTTAGAGAGAAGATGGTATTTGGCTGTCTAAAACTGTCTGGGATGGGGGTGGTGGTGTTGTATCAAAGCAGATTCAGCTGCTGCTTGAGACAATGGTGTCCCATACTGGAGTGCTGGTTTGAGTCCTAGCTGCTCTGCTTCTGATTCAGCTTCCTGCTGATGTGTTTGGGATAGCAGTGAGTGCATGATGGCCCAAATATTTGGGCCCTTGTCTCCCATATGGGAGGCCAGGATGGAGTTTCTGGCTCCTGGCTTCAGCTTGACCCAGATCAGGCTGTTGCAACCATTTGTGAAGTGAACCAGAGGATGAAAGCGCCCTCTCTCTCTTGCTCTCTCTCTCTTTCTCTCCTTTCCCTCTCTGTCACTCTTTCGAATAAATCTTAAATAAAGAAAATGGGTATCATAGCATGCTTCACATGATGTTGCTGTAAGTTATATCATTCATTGTGGTAGGATTTAATTTGTTGTCACATATGTGCTTTAAAAAACATACTCATAATTGTGCCAATTGTTCTCTTGCATGTTCCAAGAAAGAATTACAAACAGAGTTGTACAAAGTATAGCTATGGTTCACAGATTTTAGAAATACTTTTTCCACTTTATTCAATAGTCCATTTTAATTAGTCCCTCTAATTAAAGTTTAAAATATAAATACTTTTTTGGGAAGAAAATTTGGGAAGAAAAGTAAAAGTAAAGATCTGAAATGATTCTCTTTCGCTTGGTCTTCCTAATTTGGAAGAAGCATTGTGTGAGAAGCATTTGCAGAAATGTGTTAAAAAGCTAATCATTTCATCCATTGCTACTTGCAAAAATGTGAAATAAAACAAGGCCCAAGTTAAATACTGTAATATTATACAGTATTTAATGTACAGATATTTCTTTATTTTTTCAAAAATGATTTTTTTCTTAATTCAGAAAAAATGTGAATTAAAAGGTGTCTCAGCCATTTGATTAGGATTATGAGACATGCTGCACATCCATGTAAGCAAGTTTACGTTTTCTTTTACTTGATTTCCTTATGTGTCTTTACACTTTGAACAAATTCAGGTCACTGGAGAAATTATAGGTGTAGACAATAAACATTCAAGAGTATAATAAATAAAACTGCAACACACCCAGAAACCCAAATTGGAGATAAGAAATAAAAAAATACTTAGAAAATATTTCCATTTTTTCCCCTTGAATCTCTCCTCTCTTTCCCACTACTATTATTATTTTATGTCCTTCTCTGTTTCCATTAAGCTAGGTGCTATTTTTATCCTCCTGTATTTCTCCTAGTGAGAAACTATGGGAATTTAATTCTTTAGTATTCTCTCTTATAGGGGTTTTATATTTTCAAGAAGTTGCTATCTGGGCCAGCCCTGCGACTCACTTGGCTAATCCTCCACTTGTGGCGCCGGCACCCTGGGTTCTAGTCCCGGTTGGGGAGCCGGATTCTGTCCCGGTTGCTCCTCTTCCAGTCCATCTCTCTGCTGTGGCCCAGGAAGGCAGTGGAGGATGGCCCAAGTGC